AAGCAAGTAAACATTAATTTTATAAATGAGACTTGATTAAATTTTAAATAATTTTGACTTTTGAATGGTTAAAGATAAACCTTAATGAAATTTTAAGTAATTAATTTTCGTTTCTTATTAATTTATGATATTGTGTTATGGTAATTAAATATGAAAACAAATTACAACATTTAATTGCAGTGCAAACAAAATAAGATTGAATTTTCTTCCAATTAAATAACTTCTTTTTACTAAATTTTCTACTGAACACTATTGAGTACCACTTGTATACCGAATACTGCTTGAGTATCGTTACTATCGAGTTTTCGATCTCGATTGAATCTCAGTGCCTGTTTGGGCAGTTGAGTATTTCTCTAAAGTCTTCCGTAAACAATGAGGGGCAGAGATTTATCAAGCACAATTCTTCAAAGGTTTAAACTGCACTGTTAGTTAGCGGAATGTTGGTAGGATCAGTCCTAGGACATCGGTGTTCCGCTCTAATCCGCGACATGCTGCCGGATCGATCTTTCGCGGGCAAGGTCGCGACGAGACCGTCGTCGTCCCCGTTATCGTCGTCGTCGTCGTCGGCGGCGGCGGCGGCGATTTCGAGCGGCGGCGAGTAGTAACGCCTTGACGGATCGTACATGTTCGGACGACGCCGGTAGACTGAGCGTCGCGACGTTCGCCACGGCGCCGTGTTTCTCTCCCCCTCAAACACTCTCGTTTTCTCTCTCTCTCTTTCTCTTCAACTCTCTCTTCCTTTCTCGCATAGTGCCGCCCTTCCATTGTGTATTCCAACGCGTAAAATAAGGGATACAAATGCGGGATATCGATAACTTGACCTTTGACTTGAAACACCCACATTTACTCAGATAGAATAAGGAAAAAAATACAATGTATGTGCGAAATAACAATATGAGATATATGTGAACAATTTTACATGAAATCAATTTGACATACAAAGTTCCTACCCTAAGGTAATGCAACCGTAGAACGTCAGTTCGACCTTTGACTCCAGCACCTGCAGTTATTTAAGCAATTTATACAGAGTTAATTAAGCAATTCTATACGAAAACATACAATGTAGGTACGACATAATATAACGTAAAGTGAGTTAATAATAATATCTAATATTAACCCCTTCATGCATGCGCTCTTTAACCATGTATACACATAATATATATACACATATATACACATATGTGTACACATATACATATATTGATATTTTTTCAATACATTTTTTTTTGTTTTTCCCTTTTCGAGAAAGTGGAGAGACTTAATTGAGAAATATCAAAATATTTAATTTTCACTATTATTTCAATTTGATTAATGTTTCAAATATAGAAAAGTGCAGGGAAATGCAAGAATAAAACGAACAGATCTATTGTTTTGCGTTCGCTAACTACTTCTCCGGACGATTCTATTGTCCGGATGATATAAGGTCGCATATCCGGATGCTCGAGCTTGGATATGCATGGAGTTGCATTGTCTTTGCGCTGTACAAATATTTGCATACATGACATAACATGAGAATATGAGAAGGGTGCGCAGCGGCTGATGCTAATTATAATATATAGAAAGCGGGCGGTGTCTGTTAAGGAATGCATAATTCATGAATTTTATTTTTACCACGAATGACAGCAGTTAGGTCGCTTTGGATTGCACATATAAATGCAGTTTCAGACATAAATAATTATAGCGCACTGATAAAGTTAAGTTCTTTATAAAAGTAGACTCTCTCTATAAAAAGACTTTATAAAGGAGAGACAAAGTATATTATTTAAAAAGAAGCTTGATATGAGAAGTAAAAATCTTTCAGTGAATGATTTGTATATAGTGAACGCGCAGAAGAATGACGATTAAGGAAACCTTGATCCGCGATCTCGAGAAAAGAAATGACGTTTTATTGCCGCAACCTTAACGGCATATTATACTAATTTATCTCAATAACTGCACACGCTCGCTAACAATTCCCGCCTCAATCGATGCCACATTTCGCAACTCTCGCATCACCGTACCGAATGAAAGGAGGTGGGAACAAAAGTTTACGTCACGTTTATCTGTGAATTCAGAAGCACACAAGGAAACATATATAAAATATTTATTGATTCATTAATAAAATGTTCTTCCATCAATATATATAATGCACATGTCGTATTGGATTGATTACTTGAATAAAGCGAAATTGTAAGTCTGTTACAATATCAATACCTATTGGAAAGAGTGTTATATATTATACTCACAGGAAACACTAATGTTACTTATGAATTATTAGCATATTATATTTTGTATGTTATAACATATACATATATAGTTAACCAAGAGTGCGAAAAATTTGATTGACAACCATCACGTATATAATTATATTATAAGTCAAAAATTGTAAGAGAAAGAGAGAGAGGTAAAAAAAGAGAGAGGAATTCTTCTTACATACTACTGTTCGACTTCGTATGCGTGAGATCGATCGGTTCGCGGGGCACGTAATAACGACGAGCGGCCTTCGCGCGAAAGCACCGAGGCCGCGCACGTGTTTCCCTTCGCGTTCGCGCGCGATTTTGCTGTAACTGCACGCTCTCGTTTTCTCGAAATCGCCTCTTCGAGGGTATCGCTTCCTCCTCGAGGGCGCGCGCTGCTCGAAAGGCGGCGATCACGCGAAAAGCAGGAGCGACTGCACGCAACGACGGGTGAGCCAGTTTCGTGCGCCTCTTCAAGGTCCCCTCGCGTTGAAATTCGTTCAAGATTAATATGAAATTTTAACATACAAATTTAATTTTAATAAATCAATGTGATAGAATCTGAAATTCGAATTAACTCGTCGAAACAACGAAAAATTAATTTTGAAAAAGTCATTTATATTAGCGAAATGCGGTAATAAGTGAGGCTTTACTTTGATTGAAGATTACACCGACCGCGACCTCTTGCCACCTCGTTCTAGCTTTTTGCCCTCTGCGAGGAACTTACATCTGCGTAGTAAGTAAGAAGTTCCGATCTAATTTGGATGAGGGATAGTAAGCAAGAAGTTTTCTCGATCCTCTCGAACTACGCACGTCGAGTGATTGCGAAAGAGCTTTGCGTGAAATTATATACCATAAGTGTTATCTTGATATATATTCGTATTGATATATATCATATATGTATATCAAGACTCTGTTGTTTTCTAAATACCATATCTTTGAAGATCCCTCTTTTTGAATTCGGGATTTTCAAAGATATGGTATTTAAAAAACAAGCGATTTTTTAATATTACTTGTCGAAAATTGAAACAATCTTTTCCCCGACAAAGTTAAATTGGATGCTATCATGTTTTCCCTGTCTTTCGAATTTTCAATATCGAATATCTATATAAAGAGCACAGCTAAATTAAAAAAATTAAAATGAAACTAAACCAAATTGAAAAGAATTAAAATAAAATTTTAATTTTAAAGGAAAATAAAAATAAATTTAAAAAATAAAACTAAGTAATAAATAAAAATATGGATAATAATTAAGACTACAAATATATAAATGTAAAGATAATAAGTATCTACATATGATTAATTTGGGAAGGAGGAGCTATATATATTTGCATGGTGTAATTTCTTAAAGAGTCCTATAAAATAAATCCCGTTGATGAATAGACA